ACGAGCAGACAACGCCGAGAGCCCGCGTATTTAGCAGACAAGGAACTGCAGTTCCTTGTTGTTGCCGCGCCTGTTTTTGTTTCTGCGACTGTCGCCGCCTGCGGAACGCGCGCCGCTTTTGAGTCGAAAAGATTGTCTGCTAAAGACGCTGGCTCTCGGCGCTGTATGCTCGTTCGTTGGCATAGAGATCATATATACTTAACTCTAGAGGAAAAGGTCCGCCATTTTCCCATACAATCTGGCTGCCGCAAGCGGCGGATCATGCAGGCAGACCCTGGGGGTCTCAAACACGGTTACATCATCAGAGCAGTTTCGTGAACTTCAACAATCCACGAACTTACCGGTGGAAAGATATTCGCGTTCCTTTCGAAGGTTTTTTTTTTTTTTTTTTTTTTTTTTTTTTGCATAGCGCGCAGATGTACGGCCTCGCGTTAACGCTAAACTAAACCAACTAAACCATATACCCGGCTTCGCCGGTGGGGCGCGGTTGAGGAATACGGAACTGCGCAACCACCAGATTTCTGAGATTTCGACAGAAGGGAAGTTAATGCAGCGTAATGACTTTATTGCTTTTTATAAGCGTTAGAATAGCTCAGAATTTAGTTTACAACGTTAAATTATCACTGTTTATATTGCTGAGAGTTTTCACTCTTCGCGTTTACCATGGCAACGTTGCTTTCTTTATAATTAGAATGCAATTAAATGCAAAGGTGCAAGCGAGCTGGACAAGAATGATGAAAATAATCCCTGGAGAAGGGGAATAAGGGGGACAAAGGACTTAGCTGTGTTTGGAGATTTATGTTTGTCCATTGTCCTCTTTGTTCCCCTTCTCCAGGGATTATTTTCATCGTTGCTTTCTTTCTCTCGTGTTCTGTCGCTCTCTTTTGCGTTCGTTCACTCGGGACCCCGGGTGTCGGCGCACGGGATTTGCCACTCTTCTCACCCACCTTTACCCCCCTGTCTTCTAGGACGTGTTGCCCCTGTTCGTTGGCGGCGTTCGTTGCGCCATCTCTTATCTCCCGTGCGGAACAGCGCCGCTTTGTTTAAAGACCGGTGCCGTCGCTGGGCGGCGGAGAAAAGCTCACCGGAGAAAAGCTCACCGGAGAAACGCTCATCGGAGATAAGCTTACCGGAGAAAAGCTCACCGCGAAACCGGCAGATGCGGAGAAAAGCTCAACGGCCTTTGAGCGAATGTGAAAAAAAACTCAGATGTCTTTTTTTTTTTTTTTTTTTTAACTTAGCGGATTTTGCGTCAAGAGTGGCAGTTTAACACAATTCGCATTCGTCACTTCCTTAAACATATGTCCTATTTTTTGTAATATTCTTGAAGTTCATTCGGCATATTTACTAACTCCTCAAAAACTTGTAATCACCCATTCTGTATTTAAATGAAGCCAGAAGTATAAAATCAGAACATCGTACACCGGTAAAAAAGACCGCAATTTATTGACAGCTGACAGTGCGCCGTCGGTAGCTTTGTCAGATAAAGAGTTTTGTTCTTTGCGAGCTAATATGAAGAGCGGTGTGTGTGTTTGTTGATGTAATCAATGTCCGCTACGCTGTTTTCTTTCTGTTAATTCCACTAACAAAACTTTAGTTGCGAGAGCAGCTTCGTCCTGTCGCGTTTGTTTTCTTCACTCGGTCGTCGTCATTTGAGCGGTTTTCATCATGTATAACGTTTACCAACTTGCCTTATTCGCTACCTTACAGAAGACTACTTCGTATATAGGTCACGAGTAACAACGAGGCTCTGAAGGTCATTGGGGGCTCGCCGTAGAAGGGGTACTATCACACAAAGGCAACGTGTGGATCGCCAGCACGAGAGGCGAGAAAACGTGCACGTCCGTGGAAGAAGGAAGCCTCGATATCCTACTGACTGTTCTATCCTGTTTTCAAAAGTTACCAAAGCTTCAAAGAGAATTTCCGGCACCGTGTTGTTGTGCATGCACTTTCGGATATTCGGCATTTACAGTATTGCTTTTTAGGTTTTAGGGACATTATTAAGTTTTCGAACTTTTTCCTGTTCTTCAAGTTCATAAAGTTTTCAGTTAGGCTTTCGTTGCCTGGAGAATAAACCTCAGAAAACACTTGCCCGCAGTTATAAATTTGGAAGCAATGTACCCAATAAGCTTAGCAAATATTACAAAAAAGTAGATTTCCTTTTTTATAAAACTGACGAATTTTAAAATAATAAATTGATATATGTTATGCATGATCCAACAGCCTCCATATAAATAGAAGAAAAAAAATCCGTGAGCTTTTCTCCGCATACGCTCAATGGTTGGTGAGCTTTTCTCCGCATCCGCTCGTTTTGCGGTGAGCTTTTCCCCGGTGAGCTTATCTCCGGTGAGCTTTTCTCTGGCGAGCTTTTCTCCGGTGAGTTTTTCTCCGGGATTCGGCGTCGCTGCGTTTCCATGGGAGCTAAGCCTTTTTCTTTCTTTGCTTTTTCCTCAGGTAAGTTCGCTCTTTGCAAATTTTACAAAAAACAAATGCACCATCTGTGGGCAACGCTGCACAAAGTCATAGCGCGATAGGTTCATTACACGAACCAGCGGCCACAAACGAATACAACATTTGTCGTTTCTTTTTCGTTATTTTTCAAAAAAATATTTATTTTGCTGTAAAAGTTTTGTCCATTTCGGCGCAAATAAGACATGCTTGAAACGCAAAAGCTACGGAATTACGGTTACCGCCACTAGGGTAATTAATTACATTACTAAACTACCTTCATCACAAAGTAATGATACACTACAAATTATTCGCAGAAGTAATTTAATTACGGTAATTCAATTAGAGTGATTTCATTACTGCCACCTCTGAAAATGGGACGTGGCGCCATCGCCCATCTGTTGTGAATCACCAACTTTAAGCTTTGAGATGCCGTGCCAATGAAAGTGAAACACTGCATCTTTGCTAAAAAAAATTAAATGGAAAATAATGTATATATATATATATATATATATATATATATATATATATATATATATATATTTTTTCACAGGTTAGTTTACCCTGGCCCCTCAAACTCCATTTTAAAGGATATACACCCCGGAACGCGAGACGAAGATTAATTTGTTCCCATTACCCCTATTCCCGGGATTCGACTGTACCAACCTGAACAGCAAGTGAAGCGAGGCCGGGGGTTTTCTAAAGCCACCCTGCTTATATATCATACACGGTCTGCAGACATGATGAGAGAGGTATCTGCGGACACACGACTCAAACACGCTCGAAGCATAGAGGCTTCATACATATGTATGTTTCAAACGTGTCTATAGACCGACACGCGGAGCGGCTCTGTTTACCAACACGGCCGGAAGGCCGCGCATGCGCGGTAGCTATGTGGGCAAAAGCGACCCGACCCGACGTGTTTTCGCCATTGCGTTGTGTGGCGTGCGCTCGTTGTTGACGTTGTAGGGACGCTTCTAGCTTTATTTGTGCGTCGTATTTTCTGGCAATGTATCTCGTATGCTATACCCGACTATTTGAGCTCGCTACCCGAGCCTGAACGGCGGCGATATGGAAACAAACTGTGGGTGGACGGCGTTGCCTACGAGGATCCGTACGCCGTAAACAAGGCCTGCTGAACTTCCGACGTGAAGTTGCTGCCACCGAAGTCGACGGATCACGTCGTCGTTTATTTAGTTTTTTCGTCAAGCCAGTTCACGGCCGACACGGAGCAGGCGTACAAGTCTCTCGAGGCCTACGATTATTTTGAGTCTGTTTCCGCACTGCCGGCGGGATCAGCAGACTGTGGGTCTGCGGAAGTGTATTCATTAATTAAATTAATACGCACAGAGTCTTGAAGTCAAGGTATGCTACTTTTCCTACTCTCATGACCACAAGGCATGACAAGCAGTAACGCTTTGTCCGTTCTGTAGTCTTGGCGGTAACACGTTACAAGTAACGGCGTTAGCAGGAACGCGTTACTTTTTTCAGGTAGTAACCTACTCGTTACTTTTCGACACAATAACGGGTAACGTACTTACGTTACTATTTCAAGTAACGTAGTTACGTTACTCGTTACTACAATTACACTTCGAGTTTTTCCGTGTTTTTAGGCGTCAAGCCATGTTTTTCTTTGCGTTTTTTCTCGTCAGTGTTTAGGTGAAACCATAAAAAGAGATAAAGCAATTATGTTCTTTTTCTGCATGAACATAATGTTTCTTGATGTATGAGCTTATGCAAACCTGTATCGTCAAAACCGTAAAACGTGCTAAATCATAATTTAAAAAGTAACGCAGAAGTAACGTGCGTTATTTTTTATCTGTAGCGGTAACGCGTTTCTTTTATTTTTAGGCAACGTAGCTCAGTAACGCGTATCTTTGATTTGCAAGTAACGAGTAACGTATTTCGTTACTTTTTTTTGGTAACGCCTACAACGCTGCCGTTCTGTCCCCGATCCCTTTCTGCTGGGTAGCACGGGCGTAGCGAGCCTCCGACGAGCGCTTGGCCGGTGCTTTGTGCGCGAACACCTTGGGAACAAAATCCGGGTGTTCTCGATCAGAGAACGGTTTCCCTGTACATAAGCAAGCCTCGGGTTGGAGATTGAAATGGAAGCCGCACTTGCCTCCAAGAAAGTGCTTGCCGCACAAACGCGCGAGGCGACCATAATTTTCGATCCACGATATTATCCACCTTCTATGTCTTTCAGAGTCTGCCGGGAACTTGTAGAAGCTCACTCCGCTACTTTTCTTGTACATTTCGGTGAGATGAACGGCAACACAGCTTCGCGGCATGCTGAAATGCTATGACGCCCATGCGAAACGTGCGCCCTTTTGCCCACACCCCTCGGCTCCGGCGCGATCGCAGCGCCGCCGCAGCACCGTGACGTCAAGCCCGCGTGTCGGTCTATAGACGGGTTTTTGCATGACAAGAACGGCCACACAAAGAAGACACACTCCTCAGACCGTGTCTGGAGACTGTCTGTTGTACGATGTATTAGCAGTGTCAGCGAGGAGAACCTTCTTGTCCGGCAACATCAACAGTCACACGCGTAATTGAGAAACTTTTTTTTTTATTTTTCTACTGGTCTAGGGAACGATCACACCGATCAACGTATGGTCCCTGGTCGCCTCTATCTGGGCATCACTTCACAACCAGGCAGTGAGGCAATGAAAACGTGACAAGCAAACCACAGTTTCCAACTTTGGTCTTGGCACAACGTTATTATGACGCAAATGGAAACGCCATCGTCAAACGAAAAAGCAAAAATGATGTGGCCGGCGAGCACGACGACACACGTTAGCACTGGCACGCGCGAATAATGTACGCTATGTATGGTTTATATGGACCACTGTTTGCAAACGGGCCCGCTTTGCCCACACCCCGCTGGGGCACTGCGCGACTGTTCAGAAACCAGACTTTTGAATTGGTGTATAGTCACCAACACGTCTTGCTTCGTGATTGGTTGTTTGGCATCCTTACCGGCTAATGCAGCACTCCCATTGGTTGCGGAGGGCGATAATGAGATGCGCGGGACTCGCACCGCCCTGCGTTTCTTAAACTGTCGGTGACTATAGTAAGAACACAGCGCCGCTACGTATATAATAGGGTGTCTGAAATTCCGAGGCTGAATCTAAAATGGGCCGTAAAAATGGACGCCTCACGTAGCGATTTCAAGATTTCGTCAAAGCTGTCTTTCACAGGTGGGTTTTACCCTGTAAAATTGTGAGATGTAACTCCCTTTCCATAAAAAAAAAAAAATAAGATAGGGCCAAAATGTTTGCTAGGGTCAACGGCGGACTGCCACGCTAAAAACAGAGTCAAGTGGCGGGTCGCGTTTAGAGCGCATATTGATAGATGGCGTTGAGAGTAGCATCAGAAAGTGTAGCCGACCAGCTAAAGAAAGCAGACACGCAGACGCCGTCACCAGAAAGAACACCGTCGTTATGCGACCGTGTTTTCTTCTATTTTTGTTAATTCGAGTTTTGCTATTATTGTTGGAATTCATTTTTAAACCAAAGGTGCTTTACAAAAAAGATTATGTTCATTCTAATAGACCACGGGCATCGCGGGCAGTTTCGATTTTTTTTTTTAAGCAAGCCGGTAGAACAAGTTAGTGCCATCTGCCATTCGACTCGGTCGTCTGCGTTACCATTGACTGTGGAAAGTTTTCAGGCCCTATTTTTTTACAGAAAGAGAGCTACGCCTTGCAATTTTACAAGATAAACCCCACCTGTGAAATACACCTCTGACGAAAAGTTTACATCAATACGTGCAGGCGCCGATTTTTACTGCCCATTTTAGATCAAGCCTCGGCAATTTAGACACCCAATATTTTTTTACACTCTGCTTTGGCAAAGAACTAGAAATACGCTCCCTTGAGCCAATTAGAGCGACGGAGGCGAAGCATGTGACAGCCCTTACCAAAGGTACAGGGCGAAAGTGTAGCCAACGCCTCCTAGATAATAAAGCCATAATGCTGATAGAGCTGTGGTCATCAGGAAAGGCCATGGCTGGTCACAGATCGGACACGAGGATTGCGTCAACGTTCCGTCAAACTTGGCTCGAAGCCGAGCGCCGACGCAGCACTCGTCTCCAGTCTGTGTCCAGCGTTGGCCATCGGTGGTGACGCAAAACTGTCATTACTATGGCCTTGTCTTCAAGGCAGTGTTGGTGTAGCCCAAGCAGTTGGAAAAGAGAGGAAGGGCAAACTACGCTCTTACCCGAACGCTCTTTTGTCTGTCCCAGGCGTCGCTTCAATAGATGTCAATTATTGATACCATGAGTGCTCTACGAGAAAGTAGCCGCGAGTTCTTTACTAACACAAAACTTGCGCTACGAATGGCTAAACTCGTATAGTATATCTGAATGTGCCCATATTTCCTCCTTCTATGGATTGATAATTACTTGTGGATGCATTTATAGTCGGTGACAGATTTAGAACCCAGTCTTGCAGGGTAGACGTAAATGCAGCTAGCCTTTCCGTCTACCCACTATCCGTTCAAGCAGGGCTCGGCGTTCTGACAGTCCCTACGCGCTCTCGTCTCCTTCTCTCCCCCAGTTTCACTCCGCCTAGCGGTCAAAAGCATGCCATTATAAGGATTTCCACTGACACAACCAAAGGCTCTGGCCATTTCACGCGTGTAAACAGCAGCCTGAAGCGCACAACCAGCTCATCTCAGTCGGAAGTATTATGCCATAAGAACGCAATAAAAATCAAATGAGGACCAGACATCAAAGTTCCAACTAATAACGTAAGTCAGAGAAAGCAAGAAAATGTGCGTACTGTAGCCAGCAGCACCTAGAAAAATTATGACACAAACCTATTGTTTCGGCGGGACGAAGATGTTTCGTAGACAAACCAAGTGAAAATGACTGCTGACAAGATGACTTGGGTGCACCTTTGGTGTACTAGAACTATCAACGGATGAACCATTCATCGAGGGTGATTCAACACAACGTCACTTCATTTGTAACCCGTAACCAGGGCAATGGTGAGATGTAAAGTCACTGGAAACAGGGAAAGCAGCGCGATTGCCTCCCCTGGCGCTAGCCAACCGCTAACAGGTATACAAAAATACAGACCACCGAAACCTCGCGAGGCGATTGGCTCGTCGGCCTGCACTGCCATGTCAATCGCCATTGCGGTCCCTTCAAATCTTCGATATAAGCCTCTTTGGCACCCTTTATGCAGTGAACTTATGAATCATACTTATATGCACGGATCTCTTACAATTATATTGTTCTTCTTGCTAATTTCAAGACAGGGCAATTATTTTTCATCGCCGCCAAGCACCGAGGCCGCATGTGGATGATGGTTGCGAAGATGTGCGCCTGTTTCTCCGATGTGTGGGTAATAAAATCTCGTTATACAAGAAATTTCTGTATAAAGAAACCTGCCACCGGGAATTTGGATCAGCTCACCAAGAATGGCGAGGTCAATGAGAAGTAGCTTTCTACGAACCAAAATGGATCTTGGCACTACTTTCCCAAGATCCAGTCACTTTAATGAGCTGGGGGTTCTTCCAAGACAAAACTATAAACTTTTCTAAGCAAAGACAAGGACGCATTCTGACGAACTGCACTTGGTGTTGGGTGTACAGACGGTTTAGCCAACGAAAACCTGAAAGAACGAGCCCCTGTCACGGACCTGAAAGTAAAACGGCCAGTCACATACTCAATCGGAATGTTACCAGAACTTAAAAATACTATGTGGAACATTGAAAACGTAGGCTATCGCTCGTATGAGATGAACACTGCAAACTATAGACACCCGCGTCCTGCTCGATCAACACCGCCTGAAATAATTAAAGCCCGAGAACAGACTCCACCAGCTCGACGTCGCGTGATCACACTATGGACCAACTCAACTCTTTGACGTTATGCCACTGCGCATGCGCAAATGCTTCACCCGGCGAAATCTGTCTTCTGCGCACACGCGGGCAAACACGGGCTTGCTTTTAAACACTATATTTATGTATAGACGGCGAAAACTCGGCGTTGGGCCCGAGCCCGACCCCAAGTGTTCTTTTACGCATTGACTGGTGCACAGTCCAGCCGAAAGCTGATGCAGCTCTCGTGTCGAATCTCAATCTCACTTCGACGACGTCGAATTGCTATGTTCACGGGCTTTGCTTATTTCAGGCGGTGTTGACTCGATGCGGCGGCGGCCTCGGCTACCCCTTTATCGCGATCAGCTGCGACTGCTGCTCAGGCCGGCTGTGGACGGCTGGCCGGTCTCGTACATGGGGTTCCTGTACTCTGACACCGGCTCCTTGAAGATGGGGTTCATCTCCTGCAATCGTATGAACATTGGTAAAAGAACGAGCTGTACACAGTCGCAGTGAGTCTAAGAAACGCAGGACGTCGCTCACTGTATTCACGCATCGTTCTTTGGCGCCCCTATGGGCTCATGCCACACTCTGATTGGCTGATGAGCGATAATAAGGTGCACGGGAAACGCCACTTCCTGCGTTTATTAAACTCTTTGCGACTAGCGATAAGCAATAATGATTGTCGACTCCTAAAGACAAAAGCGGCAGATTTAATGGCGAGTATTAACGGCGCACGCAGAGCCTCGTCTTGTTAGAAGTTGCATGCAACATTTTAAATGTGCCAAGTAAACATGGACGTGGTGCGTTCAAAGCAACCTCTCTCGCTTATAATTTACCAGTCGAAGGGCTACTGATTGTAGTTCCTAGTTCTATCTGTTACAAGCATCAATTTTAAGAGTTTTACTATAATCTACATTGTCTTCAGCACTAATAGTTCACGATACAAGCTGCATCGTGTTGCAGCCCTTTAGTAGCTACCCCCATAGTACAAACAACGTCGACAAATGGCCCTAGATGGCATGCAGCGAACGTCGCATGTGCTCTGGTGATAGTACCAGGAGTGAGCTCTCCTTGTATACAATTGTAGCGATATGGGGTGGTGAGTTTGCTATCGCCCCAAGAGGGCAAAAGTGCGGCAGTCAACGGTGCTATTATGAAAACAACGACGGCGTCACCTGGTTAATGCTGGATGGCCATTCTAAACTATGTAGGAAACGTAGCGACAGTAGTGCGTCTTAGGCAGGACCCCTCAGCAGGACGCACGGTCAGCCATCTCCAGTCCTCTGAACGGGCCCCTTTTATTCTTCCCGCTTCTCTTTGTTTTGCGCCTCCACGTGGGCCCTCTGAAGCCGGGTCCCTCCGGGTCCCTTCACACAAGTCGGGACGTGGTTTCGTCGCTCAATAAACACGTATTTCAACGAGACCCGTCTTTAGTCACGCATATGTATATATAGAGCCCTGCATATCTGCAGATTATCCGCGGATATTCGCAGATATCCGCAAAAAACTGGCGGATGCGGATAAAAATTAAAAGACTTATTTGGCGGATTGCGGATCGGATGCAGATGTCAGGGGCTGCGGATGCGGATATCCGCAGATCCGGATCTAAATTTTTGCCCGGAGGCATTCAGTCCGTCGACTGACGTTTCATCTACAGATCGTTTCGTCGACATGCGACGTTTCATCGAAAGGCTTCCCATGTTCGTTCCATCGAAAAACCTGAGACGTTTCGTTGCAGAATATCCTGCTATTTTCGAAACAAACTTTTGGCGTCTTGCCTGGATCACAGGGCGGAGGGGGACATGATTTGGTTAAGTAGGCCTTAGTGAATCGCACGCTAGCTTTTAGCGGCTTAGTGAAGAAATACATTGTCGACAAAACGTCGCAGGGGCATGTGCCCACAAAACGTACAGCGTCGACGAACCGTGTGTCCGTGAAATGTATGTCCGTGAAAAGTTGTCCACGAAATGTATTTCCACAAAACCCGTTTCGAAGAAACGATAGGGATCCTAAGAAAGATCTGATTATTAGTGAAGATCGCTTCAGTTAGTGCATTTCATATCGTCAAAAATGCTAAGTCTAGAAAAAGTAAAAGCAAAGAATGCAAGGCGTCAATCGTGCCGAGAAGGCTAGTTCTTTGTCAGGGAAAGAGCGGAAAACTTTCTTGGGCGAAGAAAACCTCAAACGAACAGGTCAGAAGAAAGTAGAAGAAACCTCCCCCTCCCCGCAGAGAGTGGTGTGGTCATGATACCAGAAACCAAAGAATGCTTTGACAGCTAGCGCGACCCTGTGTTGCCACGGCTTGCAAAGTTTCGGAATCAGCAGCGCACGCCCGTAGGCAGCCCTTAAATTGCCTGTTTCTTATTGGTATGCTTAGAGTTCTAGCCAAGAAAGTCTGTTAGTTCATATTTGTTTGGTTACGACACCAAAGCGCCAGCAATGCATGCCAGCGGCTGCAGCGCGCAACCCACGTAACCGCCCCAACCGAAAAAAAAATGTTTTCTTTCAATATCTATATTTGAGCGCCTGCACGTCGCGATCTTTCTCGAACAACAGGTTAGTCGATCCGATCAGGCCTTGGATTCTGACTTAGCGGCGCATCTTCCCGCCGGCTGACACGAAAAACCATGAGACTCGTGGCGGCCGCACATATACGCTCGGTAACATCACAGAAAGGATTTTGTCTTCCTACCACTGCTTCTCCTCCTCTTTTTCCGAACTTTTTTTTTTATGCCATTTTTTCTTAGGCGTTCAGGCTTCAGTGCAGAGTTAAGGGGCCACAGGTGAAAGTTTCCGATTCCGTGTGTGGCGAGGAAGAACGCGGTTGGCATGATTTTCGCTGATTTTGCTAGTCTAAATGTAATCGTAACCTCTGGTGGTTAGCAAGAACATCGACATGGTTTCACATTTTGCGGATGCAGATCGGATACGGATACAATGATGTAAAAAATTTGCGGATGCGGATCGGATACTCAAACTTTTATCCGCGCAGGGCTCTACGTATATATATATATTACAGTACTGACTTTCAATCTTCTATAATTAGGGTTCTCTGTTTTCGGATGAACCCGAAAGAATCTGAAAAACAATCGCCGGTACATTCTTGTCAAATCGCATTTATCCGAAAAACTCAGAATTTTGAGGTCACAACAGCAAAACAAAAAAGGCGGTGTTTTACAAATAAACTTGCTCACCAGTCTCCAAGCTGCGTTCTTTCTCTCCTTGACAAACTTCTCGTACTCCAACTTGTCCTTGAGGTAGAGGAGGAAGCGTCCAATGCAGACGGCAAGCAGACCGAAGATGACAATGCCGCCCACCACGCCTCCCACGATGTACCAGGTCAGGGCTTCCTTGCCGCACTCTGCAGCGCGGTTGTGCAGCAAACGCTACCGTTACCACCAGACGCGTAATCCTCGATTCGGACAAATACTTCACTACAAAAGTACTATATCTTGCTCCGCAAAGGTCAAATGGCCTTGGTAAGGACAGGCTTTGCGTAGTTGGAACGGCTGGATGCGGAGCAGCCTCGGGGTTTTCCCCTTTGAAACGGTAGGACTGGCTTCCACGATCAATCGCCGTGAACCGGTCGAGACAGCCGTCTCAGTCGCTGTCTTGGCGGAACAATATTTCGGTGCACCGACGACAGCCCTCTCCCTCGTCGCCGCGCAGTTGCGCTATTGCTTGAACAGCGCTAGGCTCGTAATTATCTAGGACCCGATGTGCCCACTCCACGGATTTGATGCTGTATGCCCGCTGCCTAATGTAGCTGAGCGGAGTGGACTGTATTCTCCCTACTAAAGTATACTTGATTCTGATATGAGCGCTCCTCTGACGCAAAGGTAACGGTTGCATCTACGACAGTGAGCACAGCGTCTCACATGCGTCCTTCTACTTACCCGTGTGAACTATCGTTAGGGTGCCTGAAAGGCGACAGCTAAGTAAAAGCACGATGAGCGCCGCGACGAAGCCCTTTTGTCTCTGCTTGATTGGGTCTATACAATCGTAGTGTCGGCCACGGCCGAACTTGGTGTGAGACGGGGTATAGCTCTGGGCATGCATGCGAGGTTTGCATATACTGCGGAAAGTTAAATTGCGTCTTCGTCGCCTTCGCTATGCTCTAAGGTGAGGTAAACCTTTACCATATTTTTTTTTTACTTGTCCCCCAGCGGCCTGCGTGGCGGTGGATTCGTGACTGCAAACTACAACCGCCACGATTAACGCACGCCCGATATATGCGGCCGTAAAATCCCATGTGCTTCCGCTGTTGGAGGAGCAGCCGAGCGCCGGCGCACCTTTGGTCTTCTGAGCCTCGATGACAGGCTCGTTGTTCTCGTCGTAGTAGTAGACGAACGAGAAGGAGCAGTCGTCCACGTCCTTGAAGATGCACTTGCGCTCCTCCGGGCCGGCCTCTGTCAGGACGTCGAGATGGAGTGAGCACGTTTATGTCTGCGTTTATATTTATCTATTGATGCCCATCAACAGAAACATGCATTCTCGGTGGTGCATCACAACTCAGACAACACGCACACACACACGCTCACACATCAAACACTCTTAAGACTATGGGCACAAAAATACAGAGCAAAGTAGAAAATGACCCCATGTCCTAAGACAGTTCAGACATCACAAAGTCTTTGGTTTGATTTTGTGGTCTGATGCTTATAATAAGACTGTCACAGTGCCAAACTTCTTGTCAGATAGTAGCGATTTGTATTGCGTGATTCCGAACCCATTTAATTGACTTTTTGTAACCAACCTTTTAAGTATTCGCAGCACTAGCCATCAGATGGAGAGTTGCCAGGCCACGTCAGAAAATGTTGTTTTACTGTTTCTAAATGTGACATCATTTCTGATCGAGCCCCAGGCACTTTCACGCTCGTATTTCGGTTTGTTACCAGCAAAGCGAGCGGCATATTTATGTCATATACCTTCCTTAATTATATATACAAGGGGAAATGGGCCCCAAAAATGTGAGGACATGTATTTTAACGGCGAATAGTTACCAAGGAACTTATCATGTTTATAGTGTACATACTATGTTTATGTTGATCAGGGTTGGGCAGAAATACTCAAAGATGTATTTGGAAATACAAATACTGGGATACATTAAAATGGTAGCTAAAATACTGATACTGCAATACATCTGAAAAAGTGTATCGCGATACGTATCGGAAATACATTTTAAAAAGAGTCAAAAAGTATTTGGAAATACAAATACAGGGATACATTTTAGGGAGGGGGGAAATACAAATACAGAAATACTGATACTGCAATACATTTTTCACATTTGTTTGAGACGCTAACTGAGATGAAGCTTGAAGTGCAAGTTTTTGATCCCCAAATTACTTTCCCGTAGGCTTGGCACCTTGCCTTGAAGGTAGTGAATTCGGACGACGAGGAGTCTTCAATGGGCTCGAAAAAACGTCCATCAAGGACTGACCGCGGTCCCTTAGCTGACATCCTGTTTGTCTGATGAGGGATGCGAAGAGACATTAACCTCTAAATAAATTTTATGTCATTCTAAATCACATCAAAGCGTCACGACGCCCTGTCCAATTGTGCAACTGTCAACATTTATCACATGATGTCACGGTGAGATGAACTGGTATTTTTTATCTGTACGTGTGGCTTTGAACATGAAACTTTACCATGCTGCTGTCTGAAAGGACAATACGTACTTTCGTTGTAGGTTACCTGGTTGAAGATCGTGCAGGCAGTGTCATTTAGAATTTTCGATTATAGTAGACCACCTGAAGCATTCTGAAACACATGTCTTATCTTCAGTTACGGTTGAAAAAACGATACCGTGCATCCCTGTTGTGAAGGTCCTTCCTGCCGACCCTCCACCACCAACGCATGAATTGCAGTCCTCAAGTTTCGTCTTGCATACTCCGAATAGAAACCTCATGGATGGCGACCTGATATTGCCGGCACAGGTGCGAGCTCTCCGAAAAACGGCGCGCTCGAGACGAGTCGCAGGTGTACGAAGTCTGGGTCAGCACAGAGAGGCCACCTCTGAGCTCCTTCCTGGGTTCGGATCACCAGAACAGCAGGTCACTTTCACGACGTCGGCAGAGGACGTACCCTTGAGCCGTGCAATATTACGGGCGCAGCCGCAGACGCATTCGAATATGTGTTGAACTTCACTGGGTAAGTCATCCTACTATTTCAAGCCAACTACCGCCATTCTCGTGCTGCAACGGACTGTGACTCAGCTTTTCCGGCTGGGTGTACTGTGTATGCTAAGGCAAAAGAGACGGTTAGCAGCGAGCTTTGGATGGCAGCAAACAATGACTCAAGAAATCCCTACCTAAAAACCTGCGGCACAAGATGCTCTGACTCCCCTCCTGGCACGCCACCTGGCTCGAGTCGCCGTACTACGCAACACTTCTCAGAAGAGAGAAGAGGACGCATAGAAAAATAGTTGGGAGAAACGGAAGGAACCTTGGTCAGCATGGTAACAATGCCCAAGCATCTCCCTGACCCTGGTACCATCACAAGTAAAAAAAAAAAAAAAGCGTTCTGATTTGTTTTGATTTTTTTTGTTTTTTTCCGGGGGGGGGGGGGGGGGGGGGGGGCGGGTTGAGTATTTCTCAAAAAATGTAACGAAATACATTTCACCCTGATTGTATCGCGATACAAAGGAACATTCAAAATGTATTTCGATACGGGAATACAGATACTGGCGGAGAAAATTTATCGCGATACACAAATACAGATACAAAATGTATGTCTAAAATACTATCGCGATACATTTGTATCGCGATACTGCCCAACCCTGATGTTGATACAGTGTGAGAGAAATATTTGAATAGAAGTACCGTAAAATCCCGAGAGACAGCCCCCTAACATCCGGAAAAATTGGGGGAAAATAAGGAGTGGGCTAACTTTCAGAGTGCAATCAACAAAAGTTGAGAACATGATATTTTAGGGTGATGTGTCTCTGTCAAACATATTATCGCGGCGAGGGGCAATGGAGCAAAGATGACCCTACTTCCCAGCTAGCAATGTTCGCTTATATATCCCGCCATTGCTAACTAGACGCATTTACACCAAGGCTATCATTGATTCGAACACTACGATTACAAGGAGTAAGCTATCTTTTGGTGTTTAAAAGAAAATAGCAAATCAAGCCAAAAGTAGAGGTGGGGCATATCTCGGGCATTTACGGTAATGGTACAAGAAAAGTAGTTGTAGCACAGTTGTTTTGGGGGGTTTACATATTTTTGAGAGGGGTGTATATTATAGGTTTGAGAAGGAGAAAGGATATGTTTAGAAGAAGGATAGAAGTTTGGCATAGTTTGAATAAATTCATTGCTAAAAGACGCATGAACAACTGTGTTTTTGCGCCTTCGTCCCTGTTTTTTGTAAATTTCTTTTTTTTTTTCAGCAACGGATTCCACAAATCTACCGAAACACAACTTCATAATGCAGAATTGTGTGGAATTGCAGAAACATGCAAAACGGCTCACCGTTGTCCCCAACAAAATAAAAACGACAGGAATGTCTTTGACTTGACCCACCTTCAGCGCGAGCTCCCTACCTTCGATAACGCTTCGACTGCTCACGCGCAGCAAGAGCACGAAGGAAGGAAACGAGTCTGTACACCGGAGGCTTGGCATCTGAAAGTGACGCCCCTGGCTTTTTCTCCTATCAGAGGCATATGGCCTTATACCCCATGCACACGATCGTCAAGATACCTATAGCTAAGGGACCTGTATTCTCCGTGGCAAATCAATAGACCGATCTCAGCAAGCGTTCGACGCATGCGCGAGGCAGCCATAACTTTAGTTCACAGGAGGCAATCGGCAGTGCACGAGACTGTTCGTAGCCTGCACGCGCAGAGCTCCAGCGAGGTTGCCGCACGCGCAGAAAGACTAAAGTTCCCTCCATGCTTTGCGGCAGCGGTGGCGTAGTCAAACTGGCTGGTGAGATCAGTCTATTCACGATCCTCCGCGCGTGACTTCCGCTCGCGACCGAAGAGCGCGGGCTAATTCGCCGATTGCAGAGGGACCTATAGACGATTGCAAGCTGGGCGACTGGCCGCCGCCATGTCTCTGCTCGAGCAGGCACGCCCGTGCGATTACGAGCTTGCCAAAGCTACGTTCACCCGCGCGTTGCACGCGCTTGCACGCATGGGGCACCACTTGTGGCGCCATGCTTGCAATTGTCTATAGACGATTGCGAGCTGGGCGACTGGCCGCCGCCATGTCTCTGCTCGAGCAGGCACGCCCGTGCGATTACGAGCTTGCCAAAGCTACGTTCACCCGCGCATTGCACGCCCTTGCACGCATGGGGCACCACTTGTGGCGCCATGCTTGCAATTGTCTATATATGTTAAAGGTACCTTTATGCTGGCCGTGTGAATAGGGTATTAGAAACCCACGCCGGAAAACAGTAGGCAGAGCGCTTATACTCTATGAAATATATTTTTGACTTTTCATTGAAAACGTGTTGAATTCTTGTTGACTCTGATGACTTTCTTTTGACTTTAACTTCCTGTTGACAATGTCAACAGAAAGTTTGCTGATTTTGTGCTCAAACGTATATAATGATTTTATTCAACCTCAGTGGAAAAAAGAACCTGTTTACTTTTTATTACCTTTACATTGTTATTTCTTGTTTTGTTTTTTTGCTGACTATTTTGTGACAGTGTCATAAAAAAGACTTCAGACCTTCAGTCTGGTTCGAGTTCAAAATGTTCAGTTGACTCTCGTAGCCAGTGTCAATAGAAAATATAAGACTTTCTAATGAACTTTTTCTGAATAGAGAACATCTTGATTAGATGTCAAAAGTAACTAAGTTTCTCAATGGCCTCTGACAATGGGATAACGGCTTCAGTTGTACCGCCTCCATCTTGAGCCTTCTACCCTTGACAACGCTCTGGCGTCTCGCGCACCCCGAGCGCGCGCGCAGCCAAAGCATGACGGAAGTCATGGACGGGGGCTGGAGGCCAGGTGTTCAAAGGACACGCCCCGCTGTTCTCACTTCTTAAGTGACTATAGTGACTTTATTGACCCTATTAAATTAGTCAACTAGTAAAGAAAACCAAAATAACTATTTTAAAGCGGAGCAACTGCCTTGACTTGCTTCGTCCTAAGTGGTGCTATGCAGAGAAGCAATATCTTCTGGGAGCCATTTTTGTGGATGTTGTCCTAACGACTGTGCCGAATTATTATGCGTTGTATCAATCCTTTTAAGTAAGAGATAGAATTAACGGACTTCGAAACACTGTTTCCCCTTTGACAAACTCCCGAAAGAAAGATTGGATACTCGGAACCTTAAGAAGGGCTGAGGTTCAGCGGGCAAATGATTACCTTCAAAATGTAGGCTATATTAGGCTCTGGAGCAGTCAACAACAGTGTGGTTCAGGTGTTGAGTGCATCATCGTGTGTGCTTAAGTTCGTTTGTTATGTGTATTTGTGGGATGTATGTAGGGTTGTTCGTTTTCGGGTAAAACCCGATTTTACCCGATTTTTACACCCCGAACATGTTTTAGGAGAATCGGGTTAAATCCGATTTCTCCCCGAATTCCAAAACAATATAACCAACCTATTTATTTTTACGTCCTACGGAGTTTGCGGTGCACACACGCTAGCTACCCTACCTCGGGACAACAGTGACCTATAGTTCATGTCGCAAGCTGCGTGCAGCACTGTGTGCGCTACACGTCTCTCAACCGACCGCCCAACGAGGATATGCCTAGGTCACCGTGACATTCTACGGAGGCCGGCTGAAGAACAGCGACTATATACGTTGGGGCCTCGGAGGACCATTTCCATCCCCCGCTGTGCATGCGGAACCGCCTTGGCACGCCACGTAGCTTCAGCCCTGCTGCATGCAGCTAGTGAAATGCACTATCAATCCCCCTTCGATCGCTGTTAGGTCTCGACGCCCAGCCTAGTCTCTCCGGTAGCATGGCCATCTCGCTGGCGGTCTACCTTTCTCACGAACAACGTCCGAGCCAGTCAGTCGGGGTAAGCAGATCTGGAGAACTTAACAGGTCTGTTCCATAGCAAAATATCTGATCGAAAACGACCGTCCCTCAAAAGGTCTAGGTTTTGTGGACACCCGAGCGAGAGGAGGATTCCCTGAACAGTGCTTCCCCTGAAGCGACCGACAGCAATCGGACCAGCGGAGCTCTCCCCGACGGCGATAATCCCCCGCACTCGAATATTATAATGGTGCAGAAAGCTCGTGATACCCTCCAGTAAAAACAATAAATGAATGTATTACTTAGTATATTTGCAAATTTAACCTGAAAATACCCGAATTTTAAAATGTTTCTGCAAATAACCCGATTTCTCTCCGATTATTAGCTTGAAAAGAAGCACCCGATTTTTACCCCCCGAATTTGAAAATACATAAAACCGGAAAACGAACAACCCTAGATATATGTAGTGCCTTCAAAATCCTAACAAAATCCAAAATATAAAAAGCGCTTGTCTTTTTCTTTTCGTTATTCTGTGGCAGCCAATTTGGCGAACTTTGTTTGAATAAATAGCTAAAGTGTAAAGCATTCTTTTTTATTTTTAAATGGCAGTAGTTTTTTTATTGAAAAGCTACAATAAAAGCATCTTGGAGGTGACAGAAAGTCTGTTGACTTTTTATTAAAAAGTGGGCCAATATTCAGAAGAAAGTAAGCAGGAAAGCTAGAGAAAGATAGATTAAAAGCTGTTTACATGTTATATTCTCTGATGACATATTTAACAGCCTTTCAACAGAAAAGCACAACAGTTCTAATGCGAAAGCATTAACTGTCCCCAGGCACGCAGCCGGCGTCGGCTGTGACCGCGAAGAACAGGGATCTAAATCAACAGCAGTTAAAATGGTTGCAACGCGTTCCCGTTGGCTGCGACGCGTCCTATCTGATGCTTCATCACGGAAGTCGGCGGGGGCGCTCAAGATCAAAGCGGACTCGTTTCAGGAATAAAACTCAAAAAAAAGCACGTCAACGCAGATGCATCGTCCCGGAAGGCATGGAGCCGGCGGAGTTTGCCGCGCCTGCGCAGTGGGGGAGCGTGATGTCACCACAGGAGCGCCGTGTGCAATAGTAAGACGTGTCGCGGTGCCTGTAGGAATGCGCTGCGTGTAGGAATGCTCTCGCATTCCTTCAAGTAAGCAGCGTTAAGTGTCCGCCTGTAATTTTTTTCTTTGTAAGCACAAGGGTACGATTGCTAGTACCTGGCCAAAATAACTCTTTTTTGAAGTGCATCGAACGTCAGCTGGCGTTCTGGGGCTCTTCAGGGTCGGTTTGCTTGCGAAAACGTGTACCCTTCCTTGTGGTTCAAATAGCCGCAATCGAGATGGCCTTTGAGGTCACGTGATCGGCTCTGTAAGAAGCAGAAACTAAAGGTACCTAGCGTTACAAGCAAATGGCTGCCGTAGCGGGCTTGAGTTGAGCTAGTTGGTGCATTACTGGGATAGGGCCAGCTTGAACTTGGGAGACAAAAAAACGTGATAACAAAGATAGAGGAAAGAGACAGAGAGCAGTGTCTCTATCTCTGTCTCTTCTATCTTTGTTTTTCACATTTTTTCGTCACCCAAGTTCAAGCTGGCCCTGTCCTAGGGCTGCCGTAAATCCGTCCTCGCTTTGATTATTGTTCAAATTCCCAGTTTGCGCATAGAAAGAAGATGGACGGATTCAAAGTGTAATTTGAATTAAATGGAATTGTGTATGTCATGAGCGACAAGTAGAGTTATTTCCGGGGAAGGTCGCGTTAAGTGAAGATTGAAGAAAACCATAGACAAGGCACAGGTCTGCTGAGCGGAATCTGCTGAGCGAAATCTACTGGAGCGCTTGGCGCTTTTTCCCCACGGAGTCGGTCATGTGACCTCAAAATCCCCTAGCTTCACCAGCAAACCGGCCCTGGAAGCTTCAATTCATGAGTACAGGGAAAATCAAGCATTTCGGAACCCTGACGCAGACTTGTGGAAAGTCTTTCATTCATCTCCCCCACTGCCGTGGCATGGCAAGAAAGCTTTTTCGGGGGGAGGGGGGGGGGGGGGGGGGTTCCCTTGTTTGCTCGTTTCCAGCGCATATCTGTTGGTGCGAAGTGGCTCGTGGCTCGCCTTAAATGCCGACGACCAGACTCGAGATTCTGCAAGGCAGAAGATCCTCCTCAGCATGGGAGAGGAGGAAACAGGCAACAGTGGACAGGGTAGAAGGGGGAGAGGAGGGAACGATGGAAAAGCGTAAAGCGCGAACTGGTCGTCAGTTTTTAAGCGCCGCTCACACATTTGCAACCGACTAGAACCGAGAGAGACAAGATCGGTTTTTAAGCCCCTTGCGACGGCGCAGGACCTGCCCCGCAGCAGCGCATCTGGCCCTACGCCATCGAAAGAGGCTTAAGAACCGGTCATGTCTCTCTCGGTCCTACTCGGTTGCGAGTGTGTGAACGGCGCTTTACACTATAGTGCCCGCCGAGTTGCACCGATGGCCAGAGACAACATTTTCGGTTGGAGAGAAAAAGGGCGCGGGCGACAAAGGGTTCGGAGATAGAAAGAGCAAGCGGGGGTCGAGTAGTGAAGTCTTGAATCGATTATTGGGGCTTGGGGCTTAGGAACGTCTTCGAGTCCTTGAGTCTTGGCAGGCAGGGTACTAGGAGCGCGAACGGACCGACGGTGTACGAGTTAGTAAACTGCTTTGATTACACACGCCGTGTTGCGTGACCTTCTCGGGAGCGACTGGAGCGCGGCTTGGCCGAGTCGGATGTTGGATAAGGTCGAGCGACCCACAGAATACAGGTTCTATCATAGGGGATTGACCCCGTAAGCTCCGCGTGGATACAAAATGGCGTAGGAAGAAACTACCCTCTTTGAGAACAGAAAATCCAGTCTCGAATAAAACATGACGTTTTTTTCCAGGGCTCATTTCAGGTCCAGACTTGACCTGACGATTTTCGGTTCGGTAGTTGATCCGACATGTTTTTGTAAGCGGACTCAATCCCGGTCAGCTGATTGCCCACCTTCAGCCTTGTCCACCGGAACGATGTTGAGCTTGGAACACTCGGAGCGGCACTTCTCGGACTGCTCCCCGCTGCCAAACATCGTGCACTGGACGCAGCTCCGGAACTCCGAGCACCTCCCAACACAGGCCTGTGGCGTACGAGACGGAACGAAAAATTTGTACTCCATTTCAGATTAAGTCGGTCCGCGCATTCAAGGGAAACAATCCGACGGATCCATTCCAGCGGCGTTAAAATTGCGTCATCATGGCGCACGTAGTCTTTGTGCGTTTACTATCATCGGCTAAACCAATCGACCACAGTAAATGCGCCGTGGTCCCGCGTTTATTTTTTTTTTTCACGTGACTCGAGGTTATATGACGTGCTACGTAACATTTGTGAGTGTTCGTAGATGGTTTTCGCCGCCCCGCAGCGCCCTCTCCGTAACCCTCTACGACACACAGAACTCAGCGCCATCGGCAAGCAGGCGCAGTAGCAACTTCGTTGCGGAGGGCTCAGCGGAGGGGAAAATGCGCTCTACGAAAATTCCCTCATGTGAAACGGAGTGTAACGGGGCGAGTGCCTGAGGTCAATTTAAAGGGATACCTCAACGAAATTTGAAATATACCCGTCGTGTTCAGGAATAGGCTGAGTATAATTTTAACAGTGAGACGTTCTCCTTCTCTTCCTTGTCGCCGTCTGTTAACACCTCAGTCTCGGGTTTTTCACAAAAATGTTTGATATACACCAGCTCACTCGTGCCCTTACGTTCTGTCCGCAATATCCGTAAACGACAATCGCACGTTTGTTTTTTGAGCCTGATGGCTGTAATTTTCGTTATAAACGGCCCACTCTGGCAAGCTCTCGGAGAGCAGCCAGCGGAGAGCACGTCACATCCGGCGTAATCGTGACGTAGATTGCCTCGGGGCGAGCAAAGCTGCGGCGAGGCTGACGGCGACAGCATTTCCTAGCCGTTCCATCCACCGAAGCGGCCGAAGCATGCCAGCGATCAGGCCAACGCAACTAACCCCAAAGCTCCTCTTGTACGAATTTCGAATGACGGGTTAATCTTCAACAATCTTGTAGAGGGACAATAGCGACGTCTGAGACACACAACAGAGAGTCTTGGGGAAAGGAGAGTTCCTCCTTCAGCTCTTCTTTCGTTGTGGATAGAGGCGAGACATTTATCGTCACTACCTGTCAAGGTTTTTGGACGGACATTACAAACGAGGCGTTAGCGACAACCACCAGCTGCTCTTTGATGATCGTTTAATTAGTTTTAAAATTCCCTTTCGTGTATTTTTAAAGAGATTGGTGTGTATGATGTGATATTGCTCCCTTGAACACGAATAGATCATGAAATAAGCGCCGAAATTTCGTTGTAGTATGCCTTTAATGTGGGCATCGTTTGTGATGGTTTTGGACAACACACACCCCACTTCTACCGTTTAATGGAACACCGCGGGACCAGCCCATGTCGGCTCCCTTCCTGGGCTGTGGAAGAGTCCGACCCACCGCGTGTTATCCGCCCTTTGTAATCTCGCTGCTTTCGTTTCCTACATGGTCCCTTCCACCTGTATTTATCCTGCCGCGTCGTTTAGCGACCCCCCCCCCCCCCCCCCCCCCCCTCTTTTTGTATTGCGTACAGATATATATATATATATCTGTACACGTTCTGAGGGCATGCAGAAGGCACGTTCACCAGGTCAATGCAATATTAGGGAGTTTTCGTAGATCGTTTCCTCCGTCTCTCAACACTCTCCACAACCCTCTACGATATCCGGAATTCTACAGTCAAGGCCCGCGGCGTGCAGGCGCAGTACCTTGCACTTGCAGAGCGTTTAGCGGAGGGGGATCCGCGGTCTACGAAAACTTCCTTCTTCACTAAATTTAGGGGGTAACTTGACGTCACGGTTCCTTGTAACAAATCTCCGAAAAAAGCTTCTTTTTTTTTTATGGAGTTGGGTTTGATAAAACGCGTTCTGTGTTAAACAATGAAGTCTGAACAAATGGTTTTGCATTATTCGTCCTTGCCCGCAGCCAATACCACGTAAAAGACATGGCCTGCGCATGACGTCATCGTTAGTGGATCTCTGACCCGCCCCCAAGTGGCAAACACTTCGAAGCTCGACGAGAGTCGGCGCAAGGTGGCAGAAGCGCCCCATCTGGGCCATCTGGGCCAGAGCCGTTTATCGAGAGAGTTTGGCCATACATTGGTTTGAATAGGCGAGCATTTCGGGGCCAACCACAGGCCGCGAAACAGCCCCTAGTGGTGGTCGTGAGCTCTAAATTTGTGACACGACTAATTCAAGCCGTTTTAGCGTCGCTAGAGTTAAAAGGTGTAACTCTCGGTGACTGAAAACTTTGTGCGTGCGAGGTTTTCGTCACGCCAATATTCAAGTGTAGAATAAACGAACGTGCGCTCCAAACCAGGGCCAACTTGCTAGAAACGACGTCTCAGCTGAGACGGTGAAAGAAAGCACTGCCAAAGCCAGCGCACGAGCCGAGCGGGACACCGCGTCTCCAGACGCTCGCGCGCCCCACCCTTTGCACTGTTTTCTTTCTGCCAGTCACAGGACGCTGTTCTAACAAGCCAACATCAGCAGTGCAGAGAAAGGCATGGGCACGAGCGCGTGGCTTTGGAAAGTGGCTCCTAAGCACGAGTTCACGTACAAACAAAAGCGTTTTGCTGAGCTAGGTTCACGCGCCTGTACCTTTGTCTTCACTGCCGACATTTCTGAGATGGAGCAGGGAGGCCGAGATTGAACGCCTCTATTTGACGCTTTGAATGTCGTTTGCAATATTCTGACGTCGCGGTCTCCTGATTGGTCGACGCTGTGTCACAAATTTAGTTTACGCTCTAAGCGCGGGGGGAATATTCGGCACTGGCGGCGGCCTTTGCTCCGCCTGTTGGCCAAACTCTCCCAATACACGGCTCTGATCTGGGCGACACCGCGTGTCAGCGTCGCACTCGTTCTGGAGATGCTGACGGACGCTAGATGGTACTGCGTGGATCCACTATACTTCGTTTCAGTGTCGGTCCAGACGTAGCCAAATCTACAAGCGCGAGCTCCGGGCTTTAAGCATTCCTTCCAAGCACGCGCGCCCGTGCGGTGCAAGCACTGTTCTGGACCACATGCTCGCGCTTGTAGCATCGGCTGCGTCTGGACCGAAGCTGAAACGAAGTATAGCGATGATGACACCGGGGGGGGGGGGGGGGGGGGGGGGGTATAGGCGGAGGCCCGGTCTTCTACATAAGCGACGTCCTCACCGCGCAGTCCTGGCAGAAGGGCCCCGAGTAGCGTCCGCCGGCGTCGGCGCGGCAGCGGCACGCCCCGCATACGCAGTCGCCGTGGCCTCCGCACATGCGGCCGGCGGGGTCTCCGGGGGCGACGCAGGTCGACGTGTCCGCGGAGCAGTCGCAGGCCGACCCGCCCCAGCCCGAGTTGCACTGGCACTCGCCACCGCAGCACTGGCCGCGCTCGGGACCGCCGCACACGCGCGACTCCGCATCCCGCTCGCAGGAGAACGAGTCGCACTGGCACCACTGGCCGAAAACCCGGCCTCCACCCTGCGGCAGCAGCAATATCCGTCACGCTCTAAGTATTCATTCACTTAGTGACGGGTGCACTCGGCGTCCTAAACACTGCTGATACACCGCACAAAAGACCGTCTGCAAACACGAGTCACCGCAACAGTCGTGGTGCGAATGCCACGTGCCCACAAACGACAATCTCAAACACGATTCACCGCAATATCCCTGGTTCGAATGCCGCGTGCCCACAAATGACAGTCTGCGAGCACAAACGTTATTACAGTATTTACTCAACTAATTGCCACACTATTTATGAACAAGGTCCTTACGTCTACTTTCCCACATAAGATATAACACATATACAGCCAATCATCAGATTGCACATAAATAAGATAGCGAATAACTAGATCGAGAACACGATTCTCCATACAAATTCAATCGTCACAGATGGTATCTTCGCACGAAGACGTCATCTCTGTACTGTAAACAGCTCGATTCATGCTGTCGATCGCGGTGATTGGCAATCTGCGTGCTCCGTGGAAAACCGAACCCTCAGGTCTTCTTCATAAAGAGTGCGGTTATTACTCGAGTAAATATACGGTAGATCAGCTCAGTTACGGAACTGCTCATAGACGCTTGCATGCACAAGCAGTACTCCCCCTCATTCACCACGACCCGGCTCCCGTCGTTCGACTCGCCGGACGGCTGCTTTGGTAACTGCAGGGTATTCTGTGGGATCTCGGAGGCCATGATGGGATACGTACACGTTTCGAAGCGTGGTGTAGATGGCGTTCCAGCTCTGCTCTATAGAACACAGAGTTTGTAAACGAAAATCTAGATGGCGCTTCGAACGACGGGAGGTGGACTGAAGTGAGTGAGGTGGGTACCCCCTTCCGCGGGAGTTCCACAACTTAGGTAATCTAGTAACGTCGTTAAACACGAGTCACCGCAATATCCGTGGTTCGAATGCCGCGTGCCAAAGTTTTTCCTTGAACTCGCTGCCATGTGGCATTCGAAGCACGGATCTCGCCACGGTAAAACTGCCAATACGTCATGCAAAGCACAGTCTGCAGAATTTCTTCCTCGAATGATGGTCCTGCCATATTGGTCATACAAACACTATCTGCAGACACGTTCGAAGCACACATGCGTATGAAGTCTACATGTTGCGAACATGCGTAAGGCGTAATACCAGATACCATTCTCTCATCATGTCTGCGGCGAAGATCGTGTATTTTGTATAATGTACGAGCCGTGTGACTGAGGCTCAAAGGGGAGAGCAGATACCCCCCCCCCCCCCCAACAAAGGTAGTAAAACTAACAAATAGACCCTTTCCAGAAGCACGCGCCATCTACTAGCTACCGCACAAATTATCCGAGGAAACCAATATTTGGATGCACTGTTGGGGTGCACGTACACTGAATATGAATATAACACAGTGTTTAATTTGAATTAAGACATTTTTTTTAACAGGAGATCAGAGTACGATGAATTCTGTCTTCACCGTGTATATTTGGTGTATAAGCAGACCAGGACGTTCCGCTGTAAAACGAGCCACAAAAAATCGGCGTCCCCACATAGAAAGCTCAAACTTTTACCGAATGTGCACTGAGCAAATCAATCTTGCCTTGTAAAACCTTAAAACGCAATCTCTTTATGTAAAAAAAATATAGCAAAAAATACTTTCCAAAGTTTGTGTTAGGCACGTTTGCAGACGACGGAGCAGCAAGCAGACGACGCACTCTGTAGTGTGCTCGCTGCGAACATCGAGAGATGGCGCTATTCCGACGTACAATTTATATATATATATATATATATATATATATATATATATATATATATATATATATATATATATATATATTATCTAAGGGTTGGCGTACAACCTCGGTTTTCTGCAGGGACGATAATCATCCTAGCGCTCCCCTCCTAAGCTGCGAGGGAACCCAAGTTGGGACAGGGTTAACACTGGAGGGGATAAAGGAAAGGAGGAGGCGCGCAAAAGTGGGAAGCACGAATTGTAGCTCTGCCTTTAACGGAGTGCACTGAAACTTTTCGCAAACGTGTCTTTACGACTCAAATTTCATAAGTCCAAAGTTCATAAAAAAAATTATTAAGTTTAGAAAATTTTGCTTTTTTTCTATCCACAGGAAGGTAACCGGTAAAAATCATCTGGATGACGGTGCTACGCTTACATCCTGATGGTACCCCGCTCGGATCGGAATTGACTTTTCGGGGTGCAATGGGTTGCAAAGACCACATAAAGAAAACACCGAGTTTTTACAGTAGGGCCAACAAAAACCCCAATTATATGTTTTATAGGAAGTAAAACATACATTAGCTGTTTTAATAAGTTGTATCGCACGGCTATCAAGCCCCTTGTAAAATTTGGGGCCGTCTGTTCAACTGTAGGGCGTTGTACGTCGAATTGAAGTTTTGGGGTGTATTATGTGGGACAAAGGGTGAAACGATACACCGTTTTACACCCTTTTTTTAGAGTGTGGGCTGTGCCGCGAAGCGGCGTAAACGGGAGGGGGGGGGGGGGGGGGGGGTTAACGGTAGATTTGTGCCCGTTACTTGAAAACCGTAAAGGATTACATTTACAAATTACTGAGCCTCAAACGTAATGAATTAGTGTTATTAAATTAATTTCGCTGAAAAGTAGCATTACTTTACACATTAAGTTACAAATTACTTTTACGTTACTTTTCCATCTTTCTTGGACATCAGCGCCTCGGCACATGCAATAAAATGAACGAGAAGAGGAAGAATGCAATAGAATACAAGAATGCAACAAACAAACGACAACAATGCAATAAAATGAACAACAACAAACATCGCGGTGTTCCCTGGGAATATTTTAGATGACAATCATGAAACATGAATACGCAGTAATTAGACTTTTGGACGCATATAGTTTTTATTCCACGGATCTACACATTTGTTTTTTTGTTTTTTTGTGTGTGTGTTTTTTGCACTGAATCATATGGGTTAAATTTACAAAATTATTAATTTCTGGTTTTTTTAACAAAAGATTGTAATGTACCCGAACACTATAATTGCCTGGATATCACAAAACGCAAATCAATAAGAATTTTTATATTTCCTAGAAACCTTTATTTTCCACCAAATGTCCCAGAAACCTGGCCATCGGTACTCTTGCCAAGAAAGGAATAGAAACGATTTGGATGTTTTTAAAATGTTGTGGAACACTACAATCCTTTTCTCGTACGCCATGTTAGAACGGAACAAACGGTTTCGTTGACTGTAAATCGATCTAACGAAAACGTAGAGAAATAATTTGATACAAGAGGGGCCATATTCGCGTCCATTTTCGTTTCTGTCGTGGTTGAATTAGTCTCTTCGTTTCGTTCGTTTCCTGTTGCTCGTGCTTCTAGGGGTCTTCTTCCTCTTTCTTTTCCCACGCCGGCATGCCGGCATGGGGGATCGAAGTCGAGGTTGTCGGGCTCCGATCACATCATCCATTCGAGGTGGGGAGTCTCTCCTTACACTCCTTCGCCGCTAGCATTCGCTTACACTCCCCAGCTAAAAATCTCTGCGACCTCGCAAATGTTGCCAATGTTGTTGTGATCCTCGGTTACGTAGTCGTCTAGCCATCGTGGAGGGTGGCGTCGGCGTGAAGCGCGTGTAATCGGAGGATCTGCCGCAGCGCAAGTCGAGTCGGTTTGTTCGGCTGTAAACAAATCGTCCGGTGGGTCCACGTTCGCTGCGGTGAAAAGCTGCGTAAGTATCGACCACTAATTTTTTGTGAAAAAAAAACAAAAAAACTTGAGCTGCCGTTTTGAAACGAGGCGATTGTCTGGAACACCCTGTCGGGTAGACCCGTAGATCGTGTATGTTTCCTTGTCGACCTCTGTAATGACCTACGGTCCGTGATAAAGTGGGCCAAGTTTCGAGGTGCGCATGCCGTTGGTGTACCATACCTTAGTGAGTTTTAGTATTGCGTATATGAGCTAACGCAAGCCCTGTGCGTTTGCGTTAGCATTATGTGTTCCACACTGCTATGTGCGTACAGCCCAAACTGCGGCGTTAGATTGGAGCATGGCAGCTTCGCACATGCGCAGCGTAGAGAACGCAACGCGAACGCACAGCGCTTGCGTTTGCTCGCATATACAATGCTAAAATTCACTTTGTTTCCGACGTTGTAGGTTGCGGGCCGATGTTTTGCGTCTTCAGTGTGCTTTATGCCGGGGAGGTAGTCTGCCAGGTTCACAGAAGCTTCGTCGCGGTTTGCGTTGACGTCGCTGATCGTGTCGGGAAGCGAGAAAAGCTCATTGTCCACTGGTCGTCGGGTAACGAAGTTAAACAGTAGTTCGTGGGGGGATGTTTGAAGTCCTGCAAGCGGTTGTTTGATCACTTGGAAAGTGGTTATATTCAGGCTGACGTGTTTTTTTTTTCGCAGACGTCGGAGGATTTTTCTTTTTCCGCGTTCGTCTAAGCCATTAGTTTCGGGAGCATAAGGCACCGTGAGAATGTGCAGAATCTGCCTGTCAGTGAAGTACCTTGAAGCTGATTGTGATGTTAGGACTCTGTCATTGTCGGTAATGACAACTTGTGGCGTACCGAATGACTGTACAATTTCTTCGAGAAATTTAAGGACATGCTCCTTCGACTTTGACTTGTCAGGCACGAGTCGCATGACAATGAAGGGCGTCGTGAGATGGACTGCGGTGATAAAATAATTGTTTTCGTCTTCCCAGTTAATTGGTACGACATGTGGTCCAGTGGTGATTTGTTCGAAGGAAGTTACCGGCGGGGCACGAGGGTTGATGAGGATGTCTGTCTGAAGGCCAGTCGGATGGTTGTAGCGCTGACATTTGTCGCATTCCTTGATGCATGCTTGGATGTCGAGAGTTATTTGGGTCCAGTAGTAACGTAGCTGAATTTTCAATTTGGTGCGAGAGTTGTCTCCCTATCCGTCTTGGTCATGGTAGCTGCGTTAAACGGCTGATAACATGTGGAAGTCGGGACGACCATACTCAGTCGTTCCGTATCGCCGTCGCTTCGTACAAGT